TTTTCCATTCATCTTGTATCATCCTATACTTCTAGAGCTGGATGTTGGCTATTCTGGGAACAAACTCCTATTAACTCTTTTCTAAACATAAATTTATTTCCATTGGTAATATAATGGAAATACTATAGAGGGAGAACCTCTCACTGCTACTTTGCCTAAAAAATTGTAACCAGCCCCAACTGTTCACCCTCCCCTAAAGCAACACTTACCAATCTATTCTCATCAATAAAAGCATCTATTTTGTCCCCCTATAGATCTCTCATTTTGAAATATTTTGCAACTGCATTTATTGAATAATTTTTCTATTTTTAATTATGCTCTTTACTACCAATCAGCAACCATAATTAGATGAAAGAACCAGGACTTAGCTGACAACATTCAAACCAGAAAAAAATAAACAATATTTTAGTCTTCTGATGCATTAAAGTTCACGTTTTAGTGGGCTTTCTGAAAGACTGAAAGTTTCTAAAGAATCTCAAGGACTACTGAAATTCTTTCAAATCTAAAAGCTGAGAAAACTGATTTGCTAACAACAGTCTTTTTCCAATCGCTACAGTAGAGATCTGTCATTTTACTCAGTCCAGAGTCTTTGTTTTTAACTAGTAATTATTAATTCCAAAATATAATGTTAGCATATCAACAGACAGAACCACCACAGATGAGGTTCAGTTTAGGGTTTTAATCCCAGCTAGCTTCTTGGATGACCCTGTGTAACTGCTGTGGTCTCCCATTGCTTTTTCCTTTTCAAATATATTCAAACTGCCTTAAAAAAAAAAAAAAAAAGTCTGAAAGAAAGCTCAGCAGGGATCTCAGATAAAGTAGGAACTTTCTGCATTGGAAAGAAATAAAGCATCTTAGAATACAAAGTATAAATGTGTGGTACATTTTTATTTTAAAATCTGCATTCAAAAACAGTTTGGGTTTTTTGTTTATTATTATTTTTTGACGGTTGGTGAGTTTGTCCACTGGTGCTATATAGAACAGTTTTATCAATTGAGGATCCTGTCACCCCAACAAGGCATTACTGAATACAGTGGAACCTGACTTTTAGATTCTGATTTGGTAACCACTTCCCATCCTCTCAAGCCCTTAGCTCTTTCTTCCTCAGGAATTTTGATCTGCCGGTGTCTGAATGAAAAGTACTTATAGGTCACAGTAAGTGTCAACAATTTCACCAGCTTACTGCAATTTAAAAGCCTAAAAAAAAAATTACATTTTGCTTCAAATCACACTGGCCCCACCAATCTGCATGAATGATGTGCTAAATTCAGAGGTTTAGGATTTCATAAAGATTACTTTGAGATATTCCTAACACTCTAAAACTGATTTGCCAAAACAGCTGCTTTCTCTAAAATGCTTTGTGTTAAACCTGAATTGAAGCTTTTATTTTTAGCAATTATCTTTCAAGAAGCACTTTAACAACTTGCTCCTTCTTCACAGGAATCATCCTGGGCACCCAGGTGAAGAATAGCTTTTGTAAATGCAAAATAGTGCCTAGGTCAGTGGTCCTCAGCCCTGACTGCACATTAGAATCATCTGGGTAGCTCTTTAAAAATAGGTATGCTCAGCCCTTTCTGATTAATTGGTATGTGATGGGAAATTGGCATAGTATGTCTTTAAAGCTCCCCAGCTGATTCTAATGCGCAGACAAGAACTATCAGTCTGACAAGAATGGCTTGAGCCCAGCTTCCATTAACACATTTCTTTTTAGGATCTTAATATGAATCAAAGGCTGTGGAACACACTCTCTTCACCCCAAGGGCTGATGAAAAAATATTTGTTTACAAATTATTAATGTAAAAATTAAATGTCTCCCACCCCCCATGATCCTTTTCACTAAAGCCCCATTCAGATCTTGCTGTCAGGATAGATTCTCCTGGTCACAAGTATGTTCTAGAAACCAAGGAACTATTCCAAAAATCCAGTATTTCAGCACCCAGACTGATCTCACAGAATGAGTGATCACCTACACCTTGGACAGTATAAAAATTTTTATCATACCACGTATCTATTTCTTGGTCTTGAAAAATAACATCACCAAATTTATCTGCAGTGTCAACACCTTCCTTTCTCTTTTTATTTTTTTCCTGTCTAATCTTCAAAGGCCACAAATCCCTTTTCTCCATAAAGCCTCCCCTGGTCACTTTGGGCCCCACTGATTTCTTTCTAATATGAATTTACAATCTTGACCACTTCTTTAGCATTTATTTCCATTTAACCTTTCATCCACTTTGGGGCCTGTTTGCCTAACTACCTTAGGGATAGCAACTATTACACTTTTTTTGGTATCAGTCCTCATAACAAAGGCTCATAATAATAAATGTTTAGGTTTCCACTCTCGAGCTGTAACTTTCTGACCCTCTTTACCTCTCCAACTCTTTCCGTTGAACTCTCTCGTCAACTCTATAACTCCCTTTAGTTCCACTAGGGCATCTGTCCTACCAAGCATTTTCTTGCTTGATACTTTTGAATTTTGAGATTCTACAACATGTGCTAAACATAACCAACTAGATTCCTGTCCTTAGTGATTATTGTTGTTTTGCTTGGTTTGCTTGGCTGGTCTGCCTGCTCATCTCCCTTACAATTTTCCTCTAAAATTTCAGTTATCTTTCTATCTGGACAGTTCACACAGACAAGGCTTCTTTGCAACCAACATCCCATTTCTAACGGGCCCCATTCCCTCCTGGAGGGCCCATTTCTAAGCCTCTCGTTCTCTTTTCTAAGATGGCCGCCAGAAAGCACAGGGAAGGCAGAGCGAGTTCCACCCACGCAAGGCCTCGATCTTTCTTGAGGCCACAAGAGGATGGGCTAAAAGAGGATGGGCCTGAAGGGAAAAGGCGTGGCCTGAAGACTCGGAAGGGCCAGAGGAACGAGAGCCCTAGAGGAACGAGAGCCCTAGAGCCCCAAGGCTCTGCCTCTAGCCTACGCCAGAGGCCAGACCTCCATCACAGGACCCATCGGGGCCCCACCCCCCGCCTAACGTCAGGGGCCAGGAGCCGGAAGTGAGCGTTGCTGGGGCGCGGATGTGGGGTGGCGACGAATCTGTGGAGAGCGCGTCTTGACTCAGGTAGGGAAGACATCCCGGTTCTGGCTTATGGTATTCAGACAACTCATCTTTAGGGTGCTGGGGTACCTTCAGCAACTATTATCCTCCCTTTCAAGCCCACAGCCTTCGGTCTGGTGGGTTCTCAGCACAGGTGTTTCGGCTACTGACGGTTCGCAGCTTCGTCCCCTCGAGGGCCTTCCCAGTTCCTTTGCCTACAGGTTAACCACCTTCCTCCTCTTCTGCTGTGTAGTTCCATAGCTTAAACCTACTCTGAATGTTCTTTTTAAAGAAAGAAAAATTTTTTCTGAACCCCCAGCTCTGTTGAGTTTAACCAGTTGTTTCAGACAACATTCAGCTCCTAAGCTAAACTCCTTTGTGTAATTGGCCGTTTCACCGCATCTAGTACTAGGGAAAAGATAAAGATCACCTGTTAACAATTTGATGTGGAAAATACTTAGAGACAACGCTGACTCATGAGGCTATGGATTCCAGTGCCCTTTATCTACCGCACTTAGTCTTTTTGCCCCCAAAGGATAGGGTGGCATCCTACAGCTTGCTGAATCTAGTGCTGATCATTTCTTTAAATGCCTTAAAATCAAGGAACATAATACTTGTTTCTACCTTCCAAACCTCTTTTATTTTTATTGAAAAAGTATAAAGGGACAATGCATAAGTAAAAACAAGTCTACAGGAAGGTCAGATTTCTTAATCCATATATAAAAAAAATATTTTTATGACAGCTTCAGTAATGATTGTAATTAACAAATGGGCTCTGCAGCAAATTACTAAATAGGTTTCCAGCTGATCACTTGTATTTTCTATAATGGATTCCAAGACTGCTTATGTCATAGAATGGGGGGAAGGGGTGTAGAATTGTATGAGAGGCCAAAGAAGAGCTTGCTCTAGACACAATAACTGTAAGTCTAGTCAATTTTCAGAAGTTTCTTATGGGGATGGTTTTATATAAAGTTAGTTCTTTTCCCAAAATGATAAATTTACTTAATCATAGTGCTCAGTATGGGCAAATCTCTGATAGAAGAGAATTCAAACTACAAAACCACTTCTTTTAATCTTCCACATTTCTGTTACAAAACTGTTCTTATGATTCTGTTATCCATAAAATGGGCCGTTCTCAAGTCCTAACGTTCAGAAGTTTTACCTGCATGCCTAGAGGGAATGTCTAATAACTGGAGAGATTAAATAACCAAATCTGTCCATTTTAGCATAGGAGATTGGAGGCAGGACAGAGGGGAGGTGAAGGGTCATTGGAAAAAGTGTGGCTGGAATGTCTCTGGGCATATTGGATGGATTGAGTCTCACATAGGCTTCTACCATTCCCGGCTGCCAAGGGGAAGCAAGACTGGCAGCCTTTCCATCCTGTATAACTTGAGAGGAGAGTTTTAAAATTATGCCCTATTTCTATGTTTATCCTGAGGTTTCGTGTGCTCTTGATTTGCCCTCTCTAAAGTTAAATAGCATCAAACCCTAAAAGGTGGTAAACAGTGACTGGCCATTGTAGTGGCACTAAAAGTAAACTGACATCACCTCAATTCAGTTTAAATTAGTAGTTAAGTGTGATTTTTCTTAACGATTAGGAGCCCTAGAATTTATTCTAAGAAAGTGAATTAAGCAGTGATGTTGAAATGCTTTAAAGGGGAAAAAATATTTGAGGGAAGAGGTCTCTAAGGGTTTCTTTCTTTTTTAATTTATTTTTTATTGTATTTTTTTCTCATTACCATTTATCCTCCTATATTTCCCTCCCCCCACACTTACCACTCTGTTGTCCATGTCCCTGAGTCCTTTTTACCAAGAGTTTCTTAGATTGAACTTGGGTAGCTTCAAATCCAGTTTGATTCTACCTCTTAGGGCCGCCTTTAGGTACATTTCATTTCTGATTCCCTGAACCACTGTTTTTCCCCCCACAGCACTTGGATTCAGCTCCTTCATTTCCAACATGGAAGAAACTTACAGTATGTACTTCTTATTGTTTTTAGAAAATAAGTTAACTTACAGTTTTATGTCTGACAGGACTTTTAATGTGTGGCAAAGATTCACATTTCTCCTAAACTGCTGAGGAAAAATGGCCTGTGCAATAGTAATGTAGAGAAGTACCCAAATTTGAAATAAGATACCTGAAATTTAAATAGTCAAAGAGGTATGAGAAGTCATCGAGCTTTGAAAAGGAAGGCTGTAGTTGGGACACCTGTGTCAAAATAGGTCTTTATTAAATGACGCATTTTAATTCCTTCTGTTTATCCTGTTAATGACACAGGTATAGTAACCTGTTTTCTTTCTATTTTGAGGGATAATATAGTATACATAATATTGTTGATGTAGGTTGAGTTTTTAGGATTAAAGAAATCCTAGGAAGGATTCTTGTATCTCAAGTGATCCAGGAACCTTACATGGCCTAAGAAATCAAAAAGGAGCCAGCACTGGAATCACACAAGTGTAGAAACAAAAAAGACCTGAAAAATCACTTCATTTAACATTCAGATTTTACACTGATAAAACAAAACCTCAATTAATTGATTTGCCCAGGGTTACATAGTTAACAACATAGTGAGAACCAGAGTCTTACACATTGCGTACATGGCATGCCGAACTTGATACCACAAGGCACCCCGGTTCCTAGGTGCTAACCAAGTTTGAAGAACATCTGAGTTGATGAGTAGATGAAACTTGTCAACAGGGCCTACTTTGTTTGCTACTTTTCAGTCTTGTTCAAAATCTCTTTATAATTAGTAAGTTCCAAGTAAGGGGTATTGTAGTCCCATTCTACCTTCAAAGGAGTTTCTCATAGACTCTATTACCAACATATAGAAATTACATGGAAATAGTCTTTATTAAATACGTACAACAAGGTTCTCAAACTTGAGCATGCAGCAAAACCACCTGGGGGCGGGGGTGGGGGATTGCTTTTTGAAACCCAGGTTGCTGGACCGCACCTCCAGAATTTCCCATTGAGAAAGCCTGCGACCCAAGAACTTGCATTTCTAACATGATCTAAGGTGATGCTGCTGTTCTAAGGACCACACTTTGAGAATCACTGATCTAGAATCCTGATTTTCCTTGATCTTCCCTAGGGCTCTCTCCCCCAGCCTCTTAATTTTTCTTAAAATGTTTTCATTAAAGTCCGAAATTCCTATGTGAGATAGACTATTTATGTATTCTTAAGAACTTACTACTCTCTATTAAATTAGAAAGCAGCATCTCAGATTCCCTTTATGTCTCTCATTTTAGTTACTTTTTTCAGCTATAAGTTTTTTTTAAGAAAAACATCACCTGGGAATGTGTTAGAAATGAGTAATTTCAGACCCCATCCCAAATCTACTGAACCAGAATCAGCATTTTAACACAGTCCCCAAAAGGTTTAACACCTGGGGATCATGTTAAAGTTTGAGAAGCACTGCTTTAGAATATACTTAACCTTTTTCCAAATTGGCCTAAAACTCTAACTTAATCTGATAGATTCCTGAAGACCTTCAGCTTCTGTCTTTGGGCTGGACCTCTTAGCTAATGACACTTTTGTCAGGTCTAGTTTCACCAAGTTTCCTTCGTTTCTCACCATGGGTTCTAGGCCCCACCCAAGTGTGAGGAACATCCAAGTCTATCCTTTGGAAGGAAGCTTATCCACAGGGCCTATTTTGTTTTCTAAATTAAGTTATATTCCTAGAACCAGACAACATTATTACTGAGCAGTATGATAGGTTATTTATTATAACCTTAAATGCACATATACGTCAATGTAGCACTCTTAGGTATTTGCCAAAAACAAGTACTCATACAGTGCAGAAAGAAGTGTATACTAGATTGTTAGTTGCAGCATTGTTTATAATAGTAAACAACTGGAAACAACCTAAATGTTCATCAGTAAGGGAAATGGGTAAGAATCTATGGTACATCCATTTGCAGCAATGAAATATTCCTTATATGTGCTGACATAAAAGAAGCGCCAAGACATACTAATTAAAAAAAAAAAAAGCAAATAGCAAAATAGGTACAAGAAATCACATCACATGCTACAGTATAAAGGAAACTTGAGGGCATTGTGCTAAGTAAAATAAGTCACAGGAAGACAAATACTGTATGATTTCACTGTATTATGAAGTATATAGACTAGTCTGACTCAAACAGAAGAGTGGTTGCCATGGTTGGATCGAGTAAGGAATGAGGAGTTGTTTAATGAATATTAAACATTTTTGCAAGATGAAAAAATTCTGGAGATTGATTGCATGACAATATGAATATACCTAACACTACTGAACTGTACACTTAAAATGGTTAAGGTGGTAAATTTTATGTTGTACATACTTTATTACCATTTAAAATTTGTTAATTAAAAAGAAAATTTTAAAAATTTAATATTAAAAAATAAACAGATTAGAGCTAACCTAAATTACTAGAGACCAAAATGTAAAACATTATGGTAGGAAACTATTATTATCAACTCTGATGTATGCCACTGTATGGGCAGTACAATGTGTATGAATCATAAGGTACGTCCGCTCTGTCAGCTGCTGACGTTGCCTAACATTTGCTAGTGATGGAATGGATTAAATGAAAAGAAACTAATAAGAATTTTGTCTGTAAATTCTCCCTGGGTGTCCTGAAGCTTCAGAAATAGGAAAAGGCTGCTGATCAGGATGTGCCTGGTTGGCATAATAAGCCTGCCTGTCCTCTAAGATGTTTTCCTTCTTATTCATTCTGTCCTTCAGGTCACCTTTCTGGCTCATTTGCATCACGATCATGGTTATCAATTCCATGTTTACCACTTTTCCAGTGAAACTGTTTCAGTTCCCTACTGGCCTCTGATTTTCATTGCAGTCTCTTGGTTTATAAGCTTCTTATCAAATGTGAATTGTTTATCTTACTTCGCTTTTATCATTTCCTTCAATGGGGGCAAAAACATTTTATTAGGTTGCCTCTTGTCCACATAATGTACTGAGAATGTGCTTAACCGTTTAATTTTCCTTCCTTTACCAGGCTTGTTAAAATTTGGGGCTTAGCCAGGGCATCTTCTAAAGCCTAAGGGTAGTTTTAAATGGTCATAAATTTCCAGTTCCAAACTATGGAAATAATCCCTGAAAGTATACCCTTCTAAGGGTAGTTTTAAATAGCATGATATAGGTTAGGGGCTTTCTTTCACACAGCAGCTTCATATGTCTGCAGTTATCTTAACCTCAGGAGGTTCTCTGTTTGCAGATTATTCTATTTTTTTTTAAGCTGGCAAATTTGATAATCACTAGATTAAAAAATTCTAGTTTTTTTTTCCCTCATTTGTGTCAAAATATAAGTAAAACCACCTATTGCCCTGACCAGTGTGGCTTGGTTGGGCCTTGTCCCCCAAAGCAAAAGGTTGCAAGTTTGATTCCTACTCCGGATGCATGCCTCGGGTTGTGGGTTCGATCCCTGCAAAGCAACTAGTTGATGTTTCTCTCTCACATCGACGTTTCTCTCCCTCTTTTTCTCCCTCCCTTCCCCTCAAAGATGAATAAATAAAATCTAAAAAGAAAAAAACCCACCTATCTGATAAAGGTAACTGGTTTCATTTGAGAGGTAGAATAACCAAGATCAGGAAATACTTGTAATAAGTTAAAGCAGACAGATGAAAAAGTCATCTATCAATGAATATTTCTTAGTCTTCCATAGACCATATCACTGATACAGAGCAGTGCTTACCAACTTTCTTCATGTCATGACATACTAAATAGACAGGGATGCTGGTGAACTTGGAATGGTAGCGCATGGGGGTACATGTGCAGTGGACCCCTGCGTCTATATAAATTGGCACACCATCGATTCCAACCTTCAGAATACTGGTTGGAAAGCTCTGGTTAGACTAGTTAGAATAGAAATGATTTTGAATTAGCACTTATTAGAAAAGGAAAAGCGAATGTCATTTCATTTAACTTTTTGTTTTATAGTAAGGGTAACCAACAATGAAAACAGCAATATTTAAGTTAAACCAAATATGAACTAAGACCTCATCCCATGATTGCTGGGTTTGCTGGACTTACTGAGGTTTGGTGATAACACAATTTTATCTTCTCAGGGTTACATTTTCATTTTTAGATATTTAGTCACCCTTTTTGAAAATTCCAAATTTTTATCAGACTGCCCTACTCTATTGTTACAGATTCTGTTGCAAAATACAAAGTGCCTGGAACACTGTAGTTTTCCAAAGACCTATTAAGCTTTGTACTTATCCTATTTCTCTTTCTTTCAGTCGATTCCCTGGACCCTGAAAAGCTATTACAATGTCCCTATGACAAAAACCACCAGATCAGGGCCTGCAGGTTTCCTTATCATCTTATCAAGTGCAAAAAGGTAGGGTATTATTTTCATAATTTCCCCTGTAATGCCCTCTTCAGTTCTTTAAAATGCCATATTTTGTTAATATCAAGTAATTTGAGCATAAATGTTTCAATTAAATGCCAGAATTGTTTTGGGACTCTACCTTTGTATTAAATACCAACATTTATAGAAAGAAGTTTGTTTATTTCTTGGGTACATAAGTTTTTCCTGTTTTGATTCCTCCTTCCCCCTCTCGCCCCCCCAGCTAGAGACACAGCTTCTCTAGAGTCTTTTCACCCTGTGTAAAACAGAGAAAACACTAATTTTTGCTAGCAATGAGAAAATCTCTTTTGCCTTGTGAATTTGATGTGTTCATTGTCCTGATAAGGACTGAATCTGTAATAGTTTTCTGATATTTTTGGTTATAAATTTTAGAGAAGTTAAGCAGTTAGAGGTTAGCCCAAGAAAATATTACTCCCAAAAATACCTGTTTTTCAAAATTTCAACAGTAAGCATCTTTGAAAGAGAAAAAAAAAAACAACGCAGTAGAGTTTCTTTTCTGGTCATTCTTTTCTAGACTTAGCTGACATAAACTGCTTTAATGCTGGTATGTTAACTGAGGCTCTTTGAAAAGATTTTTACAGTGCAGGTGTCGTACAGAGGCCAAAGTTCTGCCAGGATTTATGCTTGGAAAACAATTTTGGTATTTAATCCAGACTACATACAGTTTGTTTGCATTAACATCCTTTAAAGGATGATTTTCTTGCAGTCCTGGAGATAGGATTATAATGCCATTTTTTATTATTTCTCCACCTTATTTTAATCTTTCGAGCAAAGATACCTTAAGAATGAACCTGAACAATATGGATTAGAAGATACCACCACAACTTCCTCCCCTAGGCTGACAAACATGTCAAGTGTAAAAGTTGGGAAAGGGAGGCAAGCAATGTAAAGACATTGTCATAACTCCCCTCTTCTAATGCTCTTCGTCTTTGGCCACAAAACCTTTGCATTGGAATGCCCGATATCCCTTATGAAAATCATGGATACAAATGCCCTCACAATTTTCTCCATCCTCTATTTTTTTCCTGTCTTCTTCCCATTTCACATTATTTTTACTTTTTTGAGTATTATTTGTGATATGTCTTTTGCTTCTCCTATTAAATAAATTTCATAATTTCTGTTATCTCTACCATAAGATTTGAGTGGCATTAAACACTATTTATTTTAAAATAAGGAATTTGGTCAGCAGAGTAAACTCTATAATTTCGGCTTTTCCTTAGTGAAATAACTGAAATAAAGGTCAAATTGTTCAGAGCCTCATTTCAGGCATCATTACTTTAAATAAGCATTCCTGTGTTAATCTGAAAAATCATTGGTTTGCTTCTTCTGCAGCTCCCTTGTAACAGTTATTTTCCAGCGCTATTGTATTGCAATAACAGGGGCACTACTGCAGTGCAGACTAAGAGTGGTTTTTAGTGTTACTATTCATCCAGAATATCAGCTTTCAAAGCCATCCAGAGAGCTCTGCCATTACATGCTGTGCCACCTGGACCTCGTGACCCTGAAGAACAGGGGGAGAAGATGTGGTTCAAATACCCAACTCTAAATTTGCCGTTTACCTCCATATCAGCCCATTTAACCCCAATATCTGGGTTATCAGTCTCTACAATCATAACAAATAGGCTAACATTTTGAAGATTTCGAGGTACTATGTGGTCTCTGTGAGTGATAAATAATTTCTAATTTTCTACTGTAAGCCCTGGCTGGTGTTGCTTAGTGGATTGAACACCAGCCTGCAAGCCAAAGGGTCACTGCATGCCTGGGTAGTGGGCTGAGTCCCTAGTCCGGAGGCAGGGGGGACAGGTTGGCACACGAGAGACAGTCACACATTGATGTTTCTCTCCCTCTCTTTCTCCCTCCCTTCCCCCTCTCTAAAAATAAATAAAATCTTATTTTAAAAAATTTTCTGCTATGAGTTTACTTATTATAGTTAAGCCGCAAATTTATTGAGAGATTTTAGGGAAGCCATTTATAGATAAAGCTGAGCCACTGAGCCATTCCCCCTTGAACTTTTAAGAGATCCAAAGATTTGACAGAACCCTTAAATTTTGTTCCACAGAATCATCCTGATGTCGCAAACAAATTGGCTACTTGTCCCTTCAATGCTCGCCATCAGGTTCCTCGGACCGAAATCAGTCATCATATCTCAAGCTGTGATGACAAAAGTTGTATAGAGCAAGATGTTGGTAAGACTGACTAGTTAAAATGTTACAGTGCTAGAGGTTAACCCATTTAAATTTATATTATGCTACATTGTCACCTTGACTTTTGGCTTTCACCATTTAAGAACAATACTTTGAGCAGGAAAAGTTTGTCAGATTGTATTGTTTAGAATGCTTTCTCTTCTAAACAACCTGATTCATTTTATTAATAATTCATCTAACTATAAAAATCCTTTTATTGGCATAAATATGGTAAACATCTTTGTTTCTACTTCTTTTTCATGTCTGCAGCAAGGGGGTAAGGACTCTCTGTTTATCCTCCATACCATTCATTTTTCAGGAACAAAGACCCATTAGGCTACCCTGCAACCTCTTTAGCACTAACCCCTTTAGACATAACTTAGCAATGCTCTGTTCTTATGTCAGAATCTCTATTGTCTTGCAGTCAACCAAACTAGAAACTTTGGACAGGAGACTCTGGCTGAGAGCACATGGCAGTGCCCTCCTTGCGATGAAGACTGGGATAAAGGTAGGTGCTTCTGCATCTTTTTCTTTACCATATCTAAATCTCAAGTCATTTGCTTTAGAGAAAAGGAAGATTTTCATTTTTTATAAACATACCATGTTGTCTGGAATGCTTTTTTATATTTATTGAGCCCCAAAACAAGCACATTTGTATTGCTGTGCAGACACGTGGAACAGCCGATGCCTCTTGATTGGAAAAAGCACTTCTTTTACATCTGTTTTTTTCCATAAATTGTGTTATACCATCTGTGTTTGGCTGTTACTAGGCACATTTATTATTATTTATGTCATTTGTGTTTATATCCTTCAATTAAATTCTTACTATTGTGTCACTTAGGCAGGGTACTTGATCAATTTTTACTTCTTTCTCTAAACTTAGATGTATCATTTCCATCTTACAAATTCAACTTGCATGAACTGATACCTGGTACCACAAACTATGTTTCGCTTCCTTTCACAGATTTGTGGGAACAGACGAGCACCCCATTTGTCTGGGGCGCAGCCAAATACTGTGGCAAGAACAGGTAAATGAAATGGTCTCATTCCCAGCACTGCCTCCCATAATCAGAGGGCTTTGTTATTAAAAAGAAAAGGGAAGAAAAAAGAAAAGCCACCAAATCATGAATTGACCTCTTTCCTTGCTGATGTTACTTGATAGTAACCTAGTCTAGATATTGTTTTGGTGGGTTTTTTTCTTATTTATTCCTTGATTCATAAAAAGATCACATGCTTTGTGTTAATCATTGTGGGAACACAAAAATACCATATAGTTAACAAAGGAGACAATGGTGCCAACATTCTTATGTCTCAGTTGGGTTTTTTGCTAGGTTCATACTATTTTAATGCTTTCAAAAAATTCTCCAGCTATATACCACATGGATCATTTTTACTCTTGGTAACTAGTACCTAAGGAAAAAATAATCTTAAAAGGAAAAAGTAATCTTAAAAGTGTTATATTTGAGCCCTGGCTGGTGTGACTCAGTGAATTGGGCATCAGCCTTTGAGCCAGAAGGTCACTAGTTCAGTTCCCATCAGGGCACATGCCTGGATTGTGGGCCAGGTTCCCAGTTGGGGGCATGCAAAAGTCCACCAATTGATGTTTCCCTTCCTCTTCCTCCCTCCCTCCCCACTCTCTTAAAATCCTTTTTTAAAAATTTTTCTATTTGAGATTGGGGGATCTAGAATATCTATTGGGTAGGGAAGAAAATGCACCTCTTCTTCCCACTGATTTTGCATATAATGTTTAAATCTGTAAGATTTCTCATTTGATCTTCAAACCTTAGAAGATCACATTTAAAATCCAAATGAGTGTATTTCTGGATTAGAAAATAAAGGATGTGGGAGACTGGATGAAAGAAGGTGAAGGGATTAGTCAAAGAACATATATGCAAAACCCATAGACATAAACAACAGTGTGGTTATGGCCATGGGAAGTGGGGGCAGGGCCCGGGTAGAGGCAGGAAAAGCGAGGCGGGGGAATGGGGACATCTGTAATAGTGTCAACAATAAAATTTTTTGAAACAAAAAGAAGGAATGTAATGCTAGGCTTCATTTTTTTTTCCAAATACTTGCCAAATTTTATATCTTAGCTCCTGAGTTCAGTTAGTAATTGTAAGTGTACCTTATTTTGTGTGTGTACTAAAATAGGAAAAAGATTAATTTCATCGGTGCAATTTTAATTTTACCTCAGTTCTGTGAGATTTGTTGCCTTTGGTTTGACGGTCTTGGCATTTGATTTTATCTCTTGTTTATTGAGTGAGTTGATGAGCCTGTCATACAACTGAACAGTAGATGGCATTGCTGTTTATCTCAATTTCTGGAAAATGAAAATGCTTAGACCCATCTTAATGCCTGTACAGAATAGTGAGCCTTCCAGAGAAATGGTAATCATTCTAATTGCAAGAATGTTTTGATGGAAATGTGTTTACATTTTACAATGTAAGTTGTTGTTTTCCCTCAAATTACAAAAACACATTTTGATTGTCCTGTGTGTGCCTGCCTGAAGAATACAGATATGCTGGCATGGTCAAGTTTCTCTTTCTTTGTGCAGCCCTGCAAGCAACCTAGTTATGGAACATAAGAGTAACCTAGCTTCAGGCATGCGCGTTCCCAAGTCTCTGCCGTATGTTCTGCCATGGAAGAACAGTAAGTGAAATGAGACAAAATGCTTTTGTTCTTTTCTTTGTACTAATAAATACAGTTAGTCTTGATATTCAAATACGTGTTTAATCTGAATACTTTACCATCCCATAAGCCTAAGAGTGAGTACTTCCTTAAATTTTGCACCCTGAGCACCTCACTCACTTCACCCTAGTGCTGGCCCTGGTTAGTAACGGGAAACAGGAAAGTACAAGATCACAGAAACTGAAAGAATATTTTCAAGATGGGGTGACCACTGATATCAAATACTATGAGTAAATTTGGGGGCCAATAAAAAGACTGTTGATTTTGCCTAGAAGGAAGCTACCCCTGACTTTCAAGGCATAATATCAGTAGAGAATTGGCATTAAAAATTGGATTTCAGAGGCCTAAAAGGAAATGTAGAGAGAACATGAAGGTTATGAGTCATAAGAACCAGCATAAAAATAGTACTTAAATGTCTTCCCTAGACATCAGAGGTCATGCTGAGCAAACAGATACTAAATTTGTACCATACCACTCTGGTAAAGAAAGTCCCACATATGGAACACCCAAGATATTGTCATATTTAATATAACCTTTGTTCTAAATTTGCCCCTAAATTCAGATTCCCTTGGTTTCAGTCTTTGCTGCTGTTTGTGTTAATTTTCAGTGGCTAGAGGATTTCCTTTTAAAAAGTTTCCCTTTGGAGACTTGCCCAAAAAAATGAGCTCACCAAATCATATGCCAAAAGGCTTGATAGGTAAAGGACTATTTTCTTTTCTCATGCTCTTGAGTAGAAGCCAATCACTAATTTTAAATTCTTCTACTTTTATATTGCAATTCAGTATACTCCCATAATAAGTCATTTGTGTTTAGTAAGAATAGAGGATGGAGTGAATTTCAATTGACATGGTGTATTTATTTTGAAATATTTCTATTCTATAGATGGAAATGCACAGTAACTGAGTATCTCATCAAGTAAGTGTTTGTTTTATTTCGCTATCTCTTCAGATGGTAACAGTATTTAACTGGACATAAAACAGTTTGGGTACAATTTTTTTTTTTTCAGATTATGGTACCAAATTAAAGCTTTGTGTGTGCCTATGTTTTTTAAGTATATAGTTTCTGTTACAGCTTTACATGCTAATGAATAGGCATTTACTGATTAAATTAAAATTCGGTTAACATACCAAGTTGCTTTCCCTAGAATTAGTACACATTGCCTTTTCCCTTTTTCTTTTATTTTTTTAATCAAAGTTGCATTCTAGAGCTATCATGCCTCTTTAATGGACTGAGATTAATCAGACAGCTGTGCTTCACTGCTCTGCAGTTCTTTCCCTGTGCAGTACAATTTAACACATCAAAAAATTCATACTCTTTTTTAATGAGCCCTTAAAAGTTTTGGGTCTCAAGAGTCTTGCACTATTGATCTTATCTGAATATTTGATTTACCAGAACCTCACATAATCTATATAAAGAGAGCAGAATCTTCCTTTTCACAGACGAAGCCTTTCCTCGAGGTTTCTCTGTGTACCCATAGCAGAGCCAGATTTAATACTCCAAATGCTGCCTTGGCTGAAGTTGCCCAGCCACATTGCTCCTGGCAAAAGGAATATTATTATAAAGGCTAGAAATGGGATTATATTCCCCAGTGTCTTTTTTTATTTATTTTTACTGTTGTGCAAGTACAGTTGTCTCCATTCCCCCCCACCACCACCACCTTTTTTTAATTGTATTTATTGATCTTTAGAGAAAGAGAGAAACATCAAGTTGTCATTCCACTTATTTATGCATTCGTTGGTTGATTCTTGTATGTGCCTTGACTGGGGATCAAACCCTCAACATCGGCGTATCCAAACAATGCTCTGACCAACTGAGCTACCTGGCTAGTGCTATCCCCCACTGTCTTGCGGATAGTAAGCCTTCAGTGAATATTTAGTGAATGAATAATTGCCCTGTTGCCTTCCAGTTCATTCTCTTCCTCCGGACAGTGAATCAGATGGATCTTCTGCGAGTTAGGGTTCATTTTGTACCAAAACTGATGTTTCTTCTGGTGAGAAGTAAAAAAGGGATTCTAAAAACAAACACCACTTAGCTGTGGACAATAACTATCAGTTGCTTCCAGGTACTGGCCATTTTCTTGGTAGCTTCTGACTTGGAATTGTTAAATACATCAGGAAGGCATAAAATTGCATTTGGCCCCAGAAGGGAAAGAGAGACAATAACACTGGGGTGTGTCAGGAAAGCACACACAGATCTGGATAAATCATGAACTTTGAATACGTCTCTGACACACTGTACAAAATGTTTGGTGCTCTTATACTATGGACAGTCACTTAGTAAAAATGACTACTATTAAAGTGAAAGCCTAGGAGAATCTTATATCTCTATCACTTAAGAAAAGACACCCCTCTCCTTTGGAACTTAACTCTGCTATTAAACTCCTTAAGTGCTGAAAATAAAATTGCCCCTGAGGAATAAGGGGGGAAAAAATTATCCTAGGTTAGGTAAGAATCCTTAAACAGCCCTGGCTAGTGTTGCTTAGGATTGAGTGCCAGCCTGCAAATCAAAAGTTCACCAATTTGATGCCCAGTCAGGGCACATGCCTGGGTTGCGAGCCAGGTCCCCCGTTAGGGGTGAGCGAGAGGCAACTGATCAATGTATCATTGATGTATCTCTCTCACATCAATGTTCTCCCTTTCTTTCTCCCTCCCCTCCCCTCTCTAAAAATAATAAATGAACAAATTTTTTTTAAAAAAAGAATCCTTAAACAGCCTCAGGACTTCTTATCCTCTTAATAAATATAAAGTATAATTTTTTGAATGCCTGTTGTTGCAGAATTCTCCCACTTCTTTAGAAGGATACAAAAGAAATAGAAGACATTATTTATTCCCTTTAAGAACTTAATTATGGGTAGAGAGTTTTTTGAATGCACAAACGTGAAAAGGGTTTGTTAACCTTGTACTCAGTATGCTTTATCCCATTTGTATTTTTATCAACTCCACTTTTTATTAGATAAGAGCCTCCAAAGCAGGTAATATTAATTTTTGTTCTCCTAATGTATATTGTAACCACTCAAAAAATATTGTTAAATTCATGAGTAGTAGAGTGAATGAAAAGAAAAAATTAATACAATTTAATTGGAATTAATCCGGAATTGTCTACAGGAGTCAATTGCGTGGATAGTCTATTCTGATTTTCTCCTTAGTCATGAAACTGTTGACACAAGGAGTGTACCCTGATCTCTGCACAGAATGCTTTTAATTCAGTTAACCAGTTTCTGTGTGCTTAGTAGTACTAAAGAGCTCAGGGTCAGATGGCACTCGGTGTTCTGCCATTAACAACAGCAGATTCTTCCAGCAACCAAGAGATTTTAATTGGATTGTAGTTGCATGGCCCTTTGTCATATGTAGTTGGTGTGTTTGTCTTGAAAGGAACTAAAAGTTCTTTTTTCTCATTTCCTTACAGATGCCTGAACCTAGAAGACTCTTGCTTCTTCCTGCTACCAGTGGGTTCTTCATTTTTCTCCTAATCTAATTATAGAAAAATAAACCATCTGTGACTTTCAAACTGACAAGTGTCTTTTTTCCCCTCCCCCCTCTTGAGTCTTCACTCATTTGGTGCAAGAAAGAACCGTAACACTTAGAAAAACTGTTTCAAATAAACCATTGATGTAGAAAGCTCGAAAGTTTGTTTAAGTACCTGCAGCCCCAAGATCAGAAGTCACATTCCATTCCACAGTAATGAAACGTAATTAAAGTAATCTTTAAAAATCCAGCAACAGCAGGCAAGAAACTTGGATTGGGAAAAGTAACTGTGTGTTTGTGTTTTCTGACACACATGGACTGATTCTTCTTAGCATTAGCAGGAATGGACGGATTTGATTAATGCATCTGTATATACAGAGTCACCAAGATAGTGATAGCATTTATAGAGCAAAATACCCCATTCTTGTTTAGAATATTTAAGATAACTTGCTGCCTAAGTATTTCCAACTGAGGGTAGCTTTCTTTTATTTACATTATCTCTCCCACATTCCAGCTAGACATGGTACTACCTGTTACACTACATGTGGATTATGTGGAAGTGAAGATTGGCATGGAAGAGAGGAACCATGTGTACATGTGGAAAAGAGGCTTCCAAACTTGTGTGTGCAATTTAAGTTTCAAAGCTTAAATATGTGAGGGACTTGTTGACTACCCTGGGACTTATGTATAAGTTAGATTTTGAAACATTCAAAACTCTGGCTATCCTAGCATCTTGTTGGTTTTTAAAAGGAGACTTCATAATCTCCCCAGAGATTGTTTGGATCGTTTTTGTGTGGTTGTTTTCAAGTTTGGTTTGGTTTGGTTTTAAAACTGGCTGGCATGGGGAGAGATTTGTGATCTGATGTAAATGGGAACTTAGGTACTTAGATGAAGCATACTGACAGGTAATTCCAAAAATGATCTCTCTAGCAGGGTAACAGATAAGGGAGAGTAGACTCTTGCGGAATGCCTCCTATGAGTTTTATACAAAACAGGATTCTTCCCTGATGAAGCAGAGCTGTTTGTTTAGTTCTAAACTCTAAAAACAGGTTCAAGATAAGCCCCAGCACAACAGTAGTTCTGCTTAGCTGCATGATCTTAAGTGAATAACTAGGCCATTTCTTCTGGAGAGGGTGATGAATATATTGAGGATGAGGGTAAAAACACCCTTTATCCCCTTAATTCTGGTCACTTATGTTTGTATATCAACACCTCACAAACACTTTATTTAAAAATAGTCTTACTACTGGAAAATAGAAAACCTTTTTTATTTCATTTGGGTGATGACAAAACAGAACTATCATCTGCTACACTTGTAAACCAGAACTCTACCTAGTTCAGGAAAAACAAGCAGGAGGGTGAGTCTTGTTGCAAAGAACTAGCTGCTTGAATACAGCTCAACAAATGAATTAAACAGAAAATAGTTCCTTTGTGTTTTTTAAATACCTAAAGAGGTGGGATAGGCTAACATCTATCATTTATGAAAACTGATTGTGTTATTACAG